TCTGGATCTCCTGACCTCATTATCCGCCCACCTCAGCCTCCCAAAGTACTAGGATTACAAGCGTGAGCCACCGTGCCCAGCCAAATACATGTAATTTTATGGAAACATTATTATAAAAAAGATGAGCATCAAAAAATATTAATCCTAAAAAGAAATTATATTTGATAGGCATTGGCCATCTGTCTTGAACTATTATGAGTGCATCTTCACAGTACTGGGTTCTTGAAGACCCACTACAGCATGGATGGGGAGGAGTCACAGGACTGAAGGCATTCCTGATGTCTAAACCAGGGGTGAGCAAGGGCGGGACAGTAAATATTTTAGGCTGTACAAGCCATAAAGCCTCTGTTACAACTACTCAACTCTGCCATTTTAGCATGAAAGAGCCATGGACAATAAGTAAATGAATGGCTCTGTTCTAGTAGAATTTTATTTACACATACCAATATTTGAATTTCATGTCATTTTCAATTATCATGAAATATTATTTCTCTCTCTCTTTTTTCAAGCATTTAAAAATGTAAAAACCATTCTTAGCTTTTGTACCAGGTGGTACAAAAACAGACAGGAGGCTGGATCTGTCTTTACCAGAGAGAGAGAGAGAGATTTTTTTAAAGGACCTAAACTATTTGTCTTCAAAGTGCTTTCACTGAGTGAAATTTTTACATCATGACTTTATATTTCACAAAATTTTCATTTTAATCATGTTTGCCATTGGAAAAACTAAAACAGAAAACGGATCTATTACAGGATCCAGTAATTATTTTATCAAGATCCTTTTAACTTTAAATCTAATCACACTCCACGACCCCTGCCCCTCCAAGCAAAACACACACACAAATCAAACGAAACAAAAACCTCTCCATGGTACCTATGCGAAAAGGAATTGAAGGAAGTTAAAGTTAGAGAAATAGAGTGCCCACACAGGAGCTCTCATTCCAGAGCTCTTCTCTACCAAACACACTGTTTCAATAAGGCGTTGTCTGCCCTCACAGCTAAGATTACTCATCTTTAAGAGAAAAATTAATTTATATTTATGGCATAAAAATTAGGTTGCTGGTAGCTGATCCACAGACTGGCACTTAAACATCATTTTAGTTACTTGCTTTTGAGTTATTAAATTATTTCAGTGAACTGACCTAGGCTGTTGATACTGTTAACCCTGTGACAAAAGAATAGATCGAAATATCAATTGTAAGTAACTGGCTGAGTAATGTTCAAAAGTCACCTCCCTTTTATATCACTAAGTCATAATTCACACACATACACACACACAGGCTCCAAATACACCTACATCACCTTTCACTTCCAGATGCACCTGAAAAACAAGTTATGATGTCTACTTTCCCAAGTTCTTACTATATGACTTTCAAATTCTCTTTTTAACTGTTTATTATTAGCATTAACAGTGTTAATAACAAGTGAAATTCTCTTAGTTCTGGTTCATATGATCATTTATCATGTACAACTCTGTTCAGGACAACAATCATTTTCAAATACATTTGTAGTATTCTCATCATCACCAAACAATAATAAAATAGAGAGAAAGAAACCATATGTAAACAACAAAGCAATCCATGACCGAATATTTTCATAGTATTCTTACAGGTATCTGGAAACACAAAAAAAGTACATGATCAGAAAATTTTATTCATCAAAAAATGAATTTGTATTACAAATACTATATGTCCATCATAGATATTGGCAATGTCTAACACCATAAATCCTTAAATGACAAACAAATTCACGAGAGGATCCTAGCTAAGTATTTCTTCCAAGGTTTTATTTCCCTGAAGCTCAGAAGTAAATTCTTTGGCCAGTATGAATCACATATGTAATTTGGCAGAAGGAACAGACTTAGAAAAGCTGACACTTATTTTTAATTTTTGTTCTTACCTCTAAGATTTCACAATGGAATTAATTTTCACATACGCCTCATATACACAGGCATCAGTACTTTCAAACTGCTTAGTAAACGTCTCCTTTCCTCCGTCTTCATTCTCTGGTTTGGTTACCTCATCCAGTCTCATGATTTTAAATATCTCCTATATGAGGGTAGCTTCAACTTCATGTCTCTGGCATGAACCCTTTCCCTGTGCTACAGATTCATATATGGAAATACTTCCATGACTTTCGCATTTGCAGTACAAGGAAAGCATTCAAATCTAAAAATAGGCAGATCAGAGAGTCACTGATGCTGAGTTTGCAAGAGGAGGCAAAGTGCTGAAGGAGAAGACGAAGAGTTAAAAAGACTGAGGGAAAGGAGTGCTTTTCCAGGAGAGGGGTCATATGCAAATGAAAACAAAAGTCCAGGCGAAAAGACAAGACAACGGGCAACTGGGTCAGCCAACCTCATCTGACAACTCAACATCCTCTCAACACCTTATGGGTTGGATTGCATTGCAAGAATCCCAAGTAAAAGGTGACTTTCAATGTTTTGGGGGTTCTGTGTGTTCCCAGCAGAGAACAAGATACTGTTTACCCCGCAATCACCTGTACTCCACCAATGTGAACAGCAGGAGATGAAGGCAATGGGCCACATGATGGCCCTGACCTGTTGAAAGCTAAAGCTCATTTCCTTTTGACCAATATTCTAACTCAAGATAGAAGACCATTATGCAGAGTTACATAAATGTTACTATTCCCAGAGAAAATAAAAATCTGAATAACATACCCCAAACTACTAACAGGTGTTCTCTCTTGGGGTACAATCATGGGAAAGGTTAACTTATAAAATGACACAGTTTTGTAAACAATGTTTTATACTGAGCCTGATATACTTTATATACACCAAAAGTATGTACACATGGTATGATTGTTAAGGGCCACCCTCTTCCCACTCCACCCACAAAGATACCTTGAAATGCCCATGAAGTCCAGAGAGGGGAGCTGGTTGTTGATTTTTTTTCAAACGATTCACATTTAAGCATCTCCCTCTTTTTTGGGAATGAGTGTCATAATTCAGAATCATTTGACTTATCTTTTAGCTGTACCTCCCCATATATGTTTTGTAAAACAAAGAGATACCCTAAATTTATGCACAGAGGTCTTCCCAGTGGAAGGATGCATTCCCAGATATAAACATGAACAGGTGCACTCTAAACTCAAGGGAAACCCATGGGTTAAAAAAAAATTCTAATGAAAAAGACAAAGAGTAGGAAGGCAAAGTGAGTAAGTTCACAATATAAACTTAAGGGCTGTGATTTCCAGTATGGACTGTGACTGGCTGCACTATAGCTAACTGCTTCAGTTTTCATACCTGCAAAAGGGTCGTAGTCACAATGGGCAAATATTAAGGTCTGGAAACCTATTCTCAATTTAGCAGCTTTGCTTCATGGAGGAAAAAAGAAAGTCATGCACATAGATCTAACTACGGAAATGTGGACTGCACTGTTTTGTATACCAGCTCCCAATACAATCACTTTTACAGAACTCTATATTTATTGTAAACATACTATTTAGGGGACTTACATTTTAGTGCCCCCTTTATAAAGACTTACAGGAAAACCATTTCCTCAGGCCTTAGTATCAGGGAAAGTCAATGCTGCTTGTCCTGATCAGTTAGGAATGTTTCTAACTTGGGGACTATATGAGTCTTACCACTTCACTGATGTAGCTTTAATACATGTGTATAATCTTGCATAATCCACTTCCATGTACTAAGGCTTCCTGATTTCATCTCACTATTCCATTTGACTTTTGTCCTGATTTCTTTAATCTTATCTTCATCTTACTGAGTTTTTTGTAGTTTTTTTAGTAGCTCATATTATATTTTTAAGTAGATGGATAATAAAATACATTAACTTAACAAACAGTATCCAATAGAAATGAATGTTACAAGCATACAGCTATATGATTAATACCTGATTAAAGAATTTAAACCTAGGGAATGTTTTCAGCCCAGAAGAGGCCAACAGGTAACTCTAAACACGCCACTAAAATGAATTATTTGCATAGCGCATTTCTTGTAAGTTAGAACTTCTACGTGTTGAATTCAAGTCCCATTCACGTGGCTTTTCAGCTAATCTCTCAGTGTTTCAAGTCCATGATTGAGCTGGAAACCTTTTGGTTGGGGAAAAAAATGGGCTTCATATTTTAACACATATGGAGTTGAGACAAAGACAGTATGGAGATATAAAATGATTCTTTTAAAAAGATTTTCTTTATGGAGTAGTTTAATTAGATGTTGTATTTCATGGTATGATATTCGCAATGTCTTCAACATCCCAATGTCATAAGTGCTGCCTTAATTCTGCCTATGTCCAAAAGGTACTTTTAAGCTAAAAAGCAGGACTTTCCTGCCATGGTACCCTATAGAATGTTTCATTATGTCATATGCTAGTCTAATCTCTACAGTCTTCCAGAAATGTCCCACCGGTCCACTCTTTTGCTGTTTCAGCCCTGACTTGGACATGCTCTTGTTCATGACCCTGAAGTCTAAGATATGCCACATCACCACTCCCAACAGCATGTCCAAGGACTCCCAGAATTAATTACATTATGTCTTGATGGTGTCTGTCTCTATAAGGATGAGGACTGACTCTTAAGGTGACTTTATTCTCAGGCAGGTACAAACCATCAAGTAATAATGTTTATGTATATAAATATTTATGATGTACCTATGGGATAATTTCTCAGTCTCAGACATATCCATACTCAAGAATTCAAGGAATCAATCTAGGTAAGATTTATCATGCAGTTAAAAACAGGGTTGACAAAAACCAAAATCTTACACATCCATTGGATAGATTGTCTCTCAAATCTGTAATCACAAGTAAAGAGGAGGTGTGGAACAGAAGGCTAGGAGAGGACCCATCACATTTCTCTTCTGCTGCTTCATAACTGTTATTAATGAGGGAGCCTCAGTCCAGGGAGGCCTCAGGGTCACCAGTAATCTTACTCTAGGCCAGACTAACAACACCATACAGCAAATTTGATTCTTGAAATGCAATGCAGTTAAATCAGCACTATTCTGCTCATACATAATTGAAATGTCAAGGTCAGTGCAGAGGGATTACAGCTGGTTGTTAGGCACAAGGCCCCCCTCAGGAGTCAGACAGGTTTTGGACTCTGGTTTTCCCTCTTCGCAGCTATATGACCTTGGACGTAACTTAACTTCTCTGTGCTTCAATTTAGTAGAAAGGGAATCATCTCTAGGCATTCTCTTGGTTACAAGTAACAGAAAATCCAACAGGAATATCTTAAACAATAAGGACATTTATTATCCCTCGTTGTTAAGATCTGGGCAGCGGTGGGGTGGGGGGAAGTGGTAGACAGTTCCAAGACTGGTTAATTCAGTAGCTCAACAATCCTATCAGGGTTCTAGGTCCTTTATCTCTCACTCCTTCCATTCCCTGACCATGCTTGGTGCATTGGCTTATCCTCTTTTGCCTGGTCCTCACACTGGGCCAAGTTGCTGTTTGGTGCTATACATCACCTGCCAATGATGATATCCACAGATAGAAAGGACAATATATTTACCTTGCATCCATATTTTGGAGCAAGAAAACTCTTCTCATAAATTCTCAACAATGTTTCTCTCAAGTCTCAAAATTACATGGCCTTTCCAGGCCTAGCCAATTATTTGGCAAGTCAAATTAGACCACTATGATTGGCAAGTCAAATTAGACCACCAATTACAATTCACTCCAAGTGGAGGGACTGAGAAAGAGTCAACCAGAATGTGCCCATTTGGAGAAAGGTGAAAAACAATAAGGACTCTGTAGCAAGGACAAAGGGCGTGAGACTGTTGGACAGGCAACTACTGGATCTGCCACTGTCTTCTTGAAGCTATTTTGAGTTTTAAATGAGATAATGTGTGTAAAGCTCCTAACACAATGCTTAGCAACTAGTGCAGAGAAGTAAAAATATGTTAGCTGTTTATATCACTAAGGGCATTATTACTAACATCATTAAGCATGAGTACCACATAGTCTTTCCACAATGTTCATAATGCATTTATTTAAACACTTAACATCTGCTTGATCACACTCCACCTGGCGAATCTGATTAACTTTTCTCCCAACCTAGCATGCAGCTACAGGTGTGTGCCTCTGTAGTGACCATGCACCCACATTTTCTATACTGTTTCAGCTGAAGGTTCTTGGCCTCTGAATGCCATCTAAGAGACTCTGGATAAAATATTTTAAAAATACTTCCTTATATAGGTCTTCCCACTGATCCTCCTAGCTCCTGGATTGCTTCCCCATCACACTTGTGGTCTGCCTCTGCCACAGCCCATAAGATCTGCAAGGAGAGAGACCATCTCTCTATCCTTCAATGCTAGTTCCCACTGCCCAGTAGGGTTTTTGATTCAGCATGTTGACCAAGTTCTATTTGTAAAACTGTTAAATAATGAGTTCAAGCATTTTCAAAGCACAAGCAAATTTTCTTTCCAATGCAAAGTAGCTATAAGACTATTACATAAAACTAAAGGGTGGGTTTCTTGGAAAGTCCTCAAATATTCTTAGTGGAGAAAAGCAGGCGAGAAGGAAAGTGGAAGAATGAATAAGAGGACAAAGAGAAATTATGGTAATAAGAGTTGCTAAGTAAGAAGAGGGAAGAAAACATAAGGTTTATTAACTCAACTTGTCTCTATGTGTGAACAGTATGCTAAGATATTCAATGTGCTTTCATTTGACTTAAAAAGAGTTCTTCAAGGGAAGAGTTCTTATTACCATTTTGTAGGTTAGAAAATTGAGCGAGGTAAACATTTGCCATTTCTGTGGTTATACTGCATCCTGAGTTTAGGAGAAGAAATTGAGCATGATCAGCTGAGGCTTTTCTGGGATTTTTCTTTTCAGATCTGGTCTGCCTTAAGAATACTTGAATTCTTTCCTAAATGTAAGTCTTATGTCTTTCTTGTTCAATACTTTATTCTCGGCAGTAGAAGTGTACCTGGCGCATAATAGGTACTCAATATATATAGAAGAGAAGAAGAAACTAAGGAAGGGAGGGAGGGAGGGAGAGACAGGAGATGGAAGGAAGGGTGGGGGAAGAAGGAAGGAATTGAACAATTTCTGATGTCTCC